CCCTCCCCCTCCTCCCCCTCCTCCTCCTGTGATGCTGGGGGTTAAAGCCAGGGCCTCACATATACAAGGCAACTGCTCTATCACTGAGCTCCAGCCCCAGCACCTTCACCAAGTGCTCTGAGTTCTCACCAGTGGATCCTGCCTGTATCATGTGCCTACTGCTACTAAGCAGGGAAGTGAAGGCAGTATTGCTTCTGGGGTATCCTACCCTGAATAGAGAACTTGGATCTGATCAAAAGGATACATTAGAAAAAAAAATCCAAATTGAGCAGGCAGTGGTATCTATATTCCAGAAATGGGAAGCACATAAAAGCTAAAGGGAGATTAGATAAATGTTGAGGGAGACTAGAGAAATGTGTAACTACATTTATTTCACAATCTTGGATTAGATCCTGGACTGGGAAGAGAAATGTGACATTCTGGGGACAGAGGAGGAATTTGAATAGTACTTGTTATCTATGTTGAATTTATTGCTTTTGAGGACCATACTGTAGTTATGTAGAAGGATATCTTTACTTTTAGGAAATGCATGTTGAAAGTATTTAGGGGTTAAGGGCATGATAACCCACTCAGGTTATTTGGGAGAAAAAGAGTAGGGAGAGAATGATAAGCAAATGGAGGATTATAAAAACCTGGTGGCTCTGTAAAAGGTAAATCGGAGGTCTTTTTACTGTCCGTCCAACTTTTCTGTAAGTCAGGTCTGATATTAAAATCTATCCAAAAGCCTCAACATTTTTAAGTTAACTATATGATAATATAGTTAAAAGTGATGACATCATTATTATTACTATTATTATTTTTTATAGTCCTGGGGCTTGAACTCAGGGCCTGGGCACTGACCCTGGGCACCTTTTGCTCAAGGCTAGCACTCTACTACTACTTCAGCCACAGCACCACTTCTGCCTTTTTCTGTGACTCACAGACTTTCCTGCCTGGGCTGGCTCCGAATTGAGATTCTCAGATCTCAGCCCCCTGAGTAGCTAGGATTACAGGTGTGAGCCACTGGTGCCTAGTTCTTCTTCTTATTTTTTGTGCCAGTCCTGGAGTTTGAACTCTGGGCCTGGATTCTGTTCCTGAGCTTTTTGGCTCAAGGCTAGCCCTCTAGTACTTGAGCTACAATTCCACTTAAGCCTTTTTTTTTGTAGTTAATTGAAGGTAAGAGTTTCCTGTCTGAGTTAGCTTCAGGCCTTCAGATCTCAGCCTCCTGAATAGCTCTAGGATTATAGGCCACCAGTGCCCAGCTTCAGACATTAATTTGTAAGAAACATTCTAGGAGGGGCAAAGAGGAGGGACACATTCTCTGATGGGACTGAGGACTTTAATTGGAGACAGCTTCCCTTGCCCTGGCTGTGTTAGGAGCTGGAGGGTCTCCTGCAGGTGGACAGTGATGGCTCAGACGTCTTCTCCTCCTGCAGGGAGTTTCCGAATCAGTCTTCAATACTCCTGCCCACCGTCGTCTTCTTCATGGAGACACTGGCAGCTGAGCAGCTCAGAGACCACATGGATGCGGTGACTAGAAACTTCAGGGCTTCCCAATGAGACATGGCTCAAAGGGCCAGCGCTCCTGGCGGTAGCGATTTAGGTCTCTCTTGTAAAATCTGTGGGAATGGTATGAATAAATATCTGAAAGAAGGAAAGGAAAGGTTATGCTGCGTGGAGGGCCTTTGAGCTGGGCTGGGATGAACTGACTTGGTTGTCTCTACCCTTCTCCGATTGTTCCTCACATCAGTTGTTCCTGGGGAGCCTAGGCAGACGCCAGCCTAGCGGTTACCTGCTGTAGACCTGCTGATTGGGAGAGGGATGGTGCAGTGTCTTGAAAAGTTCAGTGAAATGAATGAAGTAGATTTGGGCCTCTCCTGGCGGGGACCATAACATCGCCCCCTGCTGGGCTTGTAGAATATCCCTTCCCATGGGTAGGCCTTAGCACTGTTGGGGGTGGGAAGGAAGAAGGAGCGGGTGGTTAAATGACAGTCAGCAGAACCAACATAGGGTCCCGACTGTAAGGTCCGCTCCTGGATGGCTAGCAGACTCCACCCTCCTCGCAGCAAAGTCTCCACCCAGTACCTGCGTTACCTAGGCAACTGGGACACCTGGAAGAGGTCACATCTGCATCCGCTGAGGTCACATCTGAATTTGATGTGGCCACACCTTTCTCCGCCCATACCCTAGATAAGGGCTAGCCAAGGCCCAGACGCCCTCTCTCTGTTCCTCTCTGCTCTCTCGCTGCTCTTTTCTAGCTCTCTCTGCTCTTTTCTAGCTCTTTTCTCTCTCTTTCCCAGGCCTTTCCCAGCCACGTGGAGTGCCAACCTTGCCTGGTCCCAGCAGGTCTACTGAATAAACCTACCCCTTACCTGAATACCATGTGTATGCTGCTGTTCTTACTCGGCTACCTCTTTTTAAAAACCTAACACCGACCTCCTGGAGCCTTCGGATGGGAGTGGTCACTCAGCTCAAACATCCCTGGGGGCTAGTCATCAGGACTGGCCCCTTCCAGGAGGTCAGGGTTGGGACTCACCGTAGTAGTCGCTGCTGCTGGAGGAGACTTTCTTATCTGAATGGAGCAGGGCTTTTTGTTTGTTGATCTCATTCTGAGCCTGTACACCTGACAAAGATAGTTGCATGAGGTCACTCGGGGAGGCTCAGCTGTAAGGTGGGAGGTGAGGCCTTAAGCCAGGGCTGAAGCTGCACACATGGGCTGAGCAGGCGTGGATATTCTGGGGTAGGAGGGTTTCTAAATCTGTCTCTTCCTCCCCCTCCAGTACTTCCCCTTGTAAGCAGGTGCTAGATCCAAAAATATATATTCTTTTTGAAAGCATTTTTTGCGACCCTTCATAAAAAGTTATGTACAGCTGGGTGTTGGTGGCTCACGCCTGTAATGGTAGTTTATTCAGGAGGTTGAGATCTGAGGATTGCAGTTGAAAGCCAACCTAGGCTGAAAATTCCATGAGACTCTTTATCTTCAGTTAACCATCCAAAGGCCAGAAGTGGATCTGTGGCTTGAGTGGTAGAGTGTTAGCCTTGAGCAAACAAGCTTAATGCCTAAGCCCCGAGTTCAGGTCCCAGGACTGGCACACATGCATGCACGCATGTGTGCACGCGCGTGCGCGCACACACACACACATTATGGAATGTTGAAGAGTATGAAACAGGAAATGATTCTCCCAAGCACCTTTCTCCCTACACCTTCTCACAAGTTATCTTTTCCTATGTATGTGTTTTCATGTTCTCTCACATCCTAGGTGCTACAAGTGTATTTAATTTTTTCTATACATTATGTCATAAACCTATTACTCGTCATCAATTTTGTGCAGTGTTGTAATATATGAAAAACTTGATTCATTTAGCCAGTGTGCTACTGTTGGATGTTTAGACTTTTTCCCCCAAATTTTGCTGCTATAAGCTGTTGTGATGAACAATGTCATTCAAGGCTATGTCTTTGATACTGTGTGTGTGTGTGTGTGTGTGTGTGTGTGTGTGACTGTTGCTGGTACTGAGGTTTGAACTCAGGGTCTCTCACTCTCTCTTGTCTTTTTTGCTCAAGGATGGCTGTCTATCAGTTGTGCTGCACCTCCACTTCTGGCTTTTAGGTGGTTAATTGTATGTAAGAGTCTCACAGAGTTTTTTCCTGAACTGGCTTTGAATAGTGATTCTCAGATCTCAGCCTCCTGAGTAGTTAGTATCACAGGTGTGAGCCACCAACACCTGGCTTGAGCTGTGTTCTCTTATAAGGGGGGAAAAATCTCCATCATTTATTAACTGTACACTTTGCATTAATTGCTCTGCTTCTACCCATACCTGCACAAAGATCTGTTCGTTCATCTTATATGATGATGTCTACTTCTTAGGAGTGGTTGTGCAGATTAAGTTGCATCCTTTTATTAGTAACATGTAAACTCTGGTGTGCGTGGGGATTCACCTGATCATCATCTGCTACCCAGGCAGTACTTTGCATGTGATAAAAACGGATGTATTATCGTCTTTGAAAAAATGCACTGCTGTTTTTAAGGCTCTTGGTTTTATTGTGAAGCTATTTGCAAAAGAATCTTTTACATGCTCTCACTTATGGATGTTTGTCAAAATACTCTGCCTTTATAACTTCAGTGAAGTGGGGGGAGAGAAGTGGGGGAGGTGGGGGAAGGAAGGGACAGTAGGAATAAAAGGAAGGGGTAACAATATTCTACAAGACATGCAATCCCTCTGTACAGCATCTTTACAAGAAAATAAAATTTAAAAAAATACTCTGCCTTGAGATTCTTTTTTCCTTTACACTTGCATAGTCTCATCTCTCAGTGGAGCTGTGACAGACTCCCGGCAACATCCTGTCCCGCCAAGCACCTGTGGGTCTTAGCTTTGCCTGATCCGATAATATATAGGCAGGCATTTTTTTCCTGTCTGAAACTGCTTATTTTAACCCCAGTTCTCTGTGATGCCTTGTTTACTAGATCATCCCTAGGATTATGATTAGAAACAGAAGGCCAAGGTGCCTCCCCTGGGTCGCCCTCTTCCCTTGTCTGTGTTCATACCCCGATTTGGGACTCACCCTCATATGAACTGCTGCTGGAGGAAGCTCTCTTCTCTGTAGTGATCAGGGGTAGTATACTAGTGCGCTTGGCTGGAGATTAAAAAAAGGAATGATTGATGTGTTCTGGACTTTCCATGATCTAGAAATATTTCTTCATTTTTTTGGTAAACCATTGAGATGTCAAGACTTATTTGTTTTGATATCAGAGACATAGTAATTGAACTAAATCTCATAGCCTTGTTTTTTTTTTTTTGTCAAGCATGGCCCTGAGTTCAAGCCTACCCAGCTGGCTTCAAACTGCAATCCTTAGATCTCAGCCTCTTGAGTAGCTATGATTACAGGCATGAGCTACTGGTATCCTGCTAACTTTTTGTTTCTTAATGGCTTTCTTTGTGCTAGATTTTATGCTAGGTACTTACTGTATATTGCCACATTTTACCGATCTAAAAGAAACCAACAGAGTATTTTGAATATTTCTATTTTACAGACAAGGCCAAATGAGTCTCAGGTTAGGTGACTCGCCTAACTTTAGTGGCAGAACTGAGATTCAAACGAGACTGCAGAGACTCAAAGGCTTGGAGCTTGGCCATGATCTTTGTAGTCTCCTATTTCTCAGATTTACCTAGAGAGCATACTAGAATGCAGGTTCAGATTCAGAGGTCTAGAACTATGCCTGAGAATGAATTCTAAGAAGCATCCTAAGGGATGCTTACATTACAAGCTCATGGGGCTTGTGCCTAACACCCACCGTGGATTTGACTGTCAGCCTTGTCATCCGTGTCATAGGCTTCCTCACACCAACAGCAAAAGCAGAGGATCTTTGAGGCCAGGTTTTGATGGGCTGCTGTGGGAGGTAAAGGAATGTGGCCATGAGTTCTAGGGACCATGGACATGAGTTCATGAGTTCTCCATGTCCATTGGAAAGGTACTTCACTAGGGGTCGTACTGGGCCAGCTTCTGCTTGGGCATGATACTCCTCCCTTCTCCCAAATCTTCTGCCTAAGCTGTCATTGGTTAAAGCCATTTATTTTCTTACCCATGGGAAGAAGGTGAAGCCACCTCTACTCAGCCAGCTGGGTGTCTGCGGGGTGTCTTGTTGAATCAGCTGATCTTGAATTGGAGCCCAGTTCACCAGGCAGGGCTGTTTCCTAGATGAACATAAGGTTATAGCTTATATGCCAGCCTTTTACCTTTTCACACCCCCTCCTAAAAGCCACCCTCTCACCCACAGCACAATCTTAAAAGTGGACCTACATACATGGGGTTTTAGCTAGATTCAGATCTGCATTCTACCACATTTCCAGGTGTGTGTGTGTGTGTGTGTGTGTGTGTGTGTGTGTGTGTGTGTGTGTGTGTGTGTGTCTAGCAGATTCCTTAACCTTGAGCCTCACTTGTACAATGTAATGTAGACAATGCGCATGGTAGTAGTGCCTGCCTTGCAGAAACCATACAGCATGAGCGACATGGTGGCAGCTCTGTACTAAGTGCTCGGCCATTGGTTACTTCATTTTCTTTCAGAGCTCATGGCCTCAAAATTATCCCAGCTCCCAGTTCCCATAGGAGCATGGTAAAGAAATGAAGTCTTGCTGGCTTACATCCAGATTTGATACTAATTTGCTGTATGGCTTTGGGGTGTGAACTCAGGGCCTAGCTGCTGTCCCTGAGCGAGTTTGCTCAGTTGAGCCACAGCTCTACTTTTTTTTTTTTAAGGTATATAAGGTAGTAATTTTATTTAAAAGTGGTATAGTAAATCTATATTTGCCTATCATTTTAACAGCTCTCAGTTTTTCTAATTGTTTTTGTTTTTTCCTTTAATTTGCCAAGTCCCTGATTTTATTTACTTATTTATTCATTTTTTTGGTGCTACTGGTATTCAAACTCAGTGCCTTATGCTGGCTAGGCAAGGACTTTGTCACTCAAACCACATCCCCAGCCCACGTTTTTTTTTGTCTCTGTCTCCTTTGCAGAGGAGGGAGGTCTGGCCAAGGATTTTCATAGTGCTGCAGGCCCAGTAGTACTGGGTCTTGTTTTAGTCCCCATATCCTTTCTCTGAAGATCAACATGTCTAAATCTCTGGATATTACTTGTTCCCATTCCTCTTTTGGTGCCAAAACTTCCTTTTAGGAAACCGTTACCTTAGTGTGGTGTTGGCGGCGAGGTGTTCTCCACAATACCCACCTCACTCTGTGAGGTTACTCTTTCATAGGCTTCTGCCTCTTTCTTTTTCAACTGCTCTGACCTGGCCCAGTTCACCATCATCTCTTGTTTGAGTTATTTCAGTACCCCCCTAAGTGGTCTCCTTGTCTCATTCTTTTTAAAAATTAAAAAAGATTGTTATTATTCGGGTCATATGCAGAGGAGTTATCATTTCATCAGATAAGTAGTGAGTACATTCCTTTTTGGGCAATGTCATTCCTTCCTTTACTCTCTCCCAATTTCCCTGTTGTATAATTCATATTCAACAGTGTCTAGTGAGTACCACTGCTGGATTTGTTCACCCTTTGTCCCTCCATTTCTGTGTTTCCTTTTACTCCTCATTCCCAGGGGGGAAAAACAAAAAACAGAAGTAGTTTCCATTTCCTGAAATTTGCTTTGATAAATATTCCTTTAAATGTTCAGATACACAGAGGCGTTGTGCTTTGGGTTCCTCCCCAGAGAGTATCTTCCTTGAGGGTCTTGGTGTGTGAAGCCTGGTGTCCTATATCATTAACTATCAGGTCTTGGTGAAGTTTAGATGTAGCTTCATCATATGAGAGAAAACATGAACTGTTTGTGCCTCTGAGCTTGGTTTAGCTTACCTCATTTAACATGATTTGTTTTATTTTGCTCTTAATGATATATACAAAATCTAGGATTGTCCTATTCCAATGTATCATGTCATACTTCAAACCTTAGAGTGACAGGGAAAAATATGGACATAGCTGACAAAGAGATATAGCACTGAAGAAAGAAACAGGGTCTCAGAAGTAAAATTTTTAGAAATTCTCATTCTAATGTAATAGCATCAGAAAGAAAAACGCACTGGATTCAAACTGGACAGCAGAAGAAATAATCAGGGAAATAATCAGGGAGTTTGAAAAAAAGTCTATAAAAATTATCCATAGGAAAGCAGAAAGCAAGCATTTAAGAAGAAGCCAGCCAGGAGCCAGTGGCTCACGCCTGTAATCTGAGATGTTCAGGAGGCTGAGCTCTGAGGATCAAGATTCAAAGCTACCCTAGGCAGAAATGTCTCTGTGAGACTCTTATCTCCAATTAACTACTCAAAAACCAGAAG